ACCTGCCCTTGCTGCATTAGCACACTTCAGACCTTCTAACTGAGCGCCAGGGAGCATGTGGAGCATGCCGTTAAAGCTTGGTGCCTTAATTAACCTGATCTTCATCATCAGTGACGTGGTGAGAAGCAAAGTGTCTGTACATTCCAGTTCCCATTAAACCAAAGCAAACTCCATTTAACGGTGCAGTGTTGTAAGGACTGAATGTTGAGCATCTGTACCAGCAGTGCTGCTACCACCAGTGCCTCCATGAAGCTCCCCCTGATCTCTGCATCACCAGGTCTGTGCAAAGATGGCACCTGAGGGAGTCTAAACACACATTCAGGTTTTGGGGGCTTCGGTTGCATTTGGCAGGCAGCTGCGTGACCAGGGAGAGTCACTCATCTCCCATCTCTGAGCATCAGGTTCAGCAAAAATCCTTTACCACAAAACCCGAGGAGGTAGAGCCTGCCTGTACACATTGGGGCAGGCTCAGGCGGGCGCTGGGTCCCTCACACCGGCAGCACCGGGAACACGGCAGCGCAGCTCTTGGAGGGCAGTATCTTATGTACCATGTTAGAGAGAACCCAGAGAGATCTCTCCGGTCTCTGTCAGCGCTCTGTTAGACCGAGTGTGTTTCAGGGGCTGTCAGTGCCGTAAATTACCTGTTCAGGCCACTCCTTTGTATACAGAGCATTAATCTTTGCACTTTTATGCCAGGCTAAAAATACCGTCTCCTTTCTCCAGCTCCCCCAAGCATCCATGGCTGGCCCCGTGTCAGGCTGTCGCCTGTTGCAGCCGGCTGTTGGGTGAGAGCTTGTGTAACGCAGCTTAAGGAAGGCACACAACGCCATCCCCGTGCCTGCTTGGGCAGCTCTTTCCAGGAGGAATGTTCATTGCAGCTGGAGGGTTGGGTTTTTCTTCTGTAAGATGGTGATGCTCAGCCTGTGGCAGGAAGGCTGTGCTGGGCTGAGCAGGACCTGGGCTCCTGGGAGTGAGAGGTTCACTCCTTGGACCAACACATGTTGCACCAGCAACTCCTCTGTATTTTATATTTATATTTTGGGAGCTCCTTAGATGAAAGTCCTGAAGCCTGATCAGAGCAGGCAGAGTTTCAGTGTTATTATTACTACTATCTGCATTAAATACAGATGTTACTGAATCCCCAAGCCCTGTCCTAGATTTCAGTGAGCTTGTTTCAAAATCTGGTGACTCTGAAAGCTGTCTTTTCATGGGGTTATTTTCAGATCCTAAACTGAAACTTGGAGATGTCCTCTGGGCATTGGGGCACAGCTTTATTTTCACTTTATTGGTGGGAAAAGTGAAGCAAAAGAGGCAAGAACAACCCATTTCTTGATATTTCTCTCTCTGAGCAATCAGATTATTGCTTCTCCCGCTGGTGGCTCTGGAAGTGCCTCCAGTGGTCATGACTGTCAAGGGCAGCAATGAAACAATGTGTCTGGAGAAATTCCAGGTTAATTTTCCTGCCCTGCCACGGATTTCCTTCCCGACCTTGGGCAAGGTGGGTAGGGTCCTGTTCCTGAGGGCAGCTGTGCGTGAACTTCTTCCCTTGGCACTTACGGATCTCAGAGCATCTGGTACCACAATTCAGCCAGTTATGTGATGGACACAATGGCTTTGTCCCAGACACAAGAGCACAGGGCACTCGATGCTCTGACATTACCTTACATATCGGGACAGAAGGCAGATACAAATCTTGCAGGGGCCAAGGGGCTTCCCAGCTGGTACTGGTGCAAAAGCAGGGTTGGCTCCGCAGGCTTCTCGTGGCAGAGAAGCTGCTTGGACGGGGCTGACGTGCTGCTGCGGGTTGCTATTTGCTTGTTTGTTTCTTTGCAGCGTCTTTCTGTGTTGACATCTGTGCCGGGAGGTGGTGTTTGGGGGAGGAAACGTGAGCTGTGCAAATGCTGCAGCCAGCTCCAGCTCCCAACCTCGCCGAGATCTGTCAGCTGGCACCACAGGCCACTTTTCATTTCCAGCCCATCCTCTGCTTGCATGTCATTATGTGCGACACTGTTGACGTGTGCATGGCAAGCGTCATGTGTGTTGCCGCGGTGTTGCCAAGAAAAGGCAGAAGAGCTGACAGCAAGCACCTGTTTGCTTTCCGTGCAGGGAGTTTGCAGCAGATGACGCGGCTCCTCTCCCCGTCCCTGTGGTTGCGATTAGAGAGCGCTCGGGATGAGTCTGGCAGACCACCACAGCTCATTCTCCATTGCTGAGCCTCCCCAGGTGTTACCCAGCGTGGTGCGGCTGTGGCACCCCCGCCTGCCTGCAACATGGGGCTCGCTCAGGGGGGCTTAGCTGGAGGCTGTTTTAAATCGGAGGTTGCACTGCCTGCAAACAGTGCCCTGGGGAGACCTGCACAGAGCGGGTTGGGCATCTCGTCTGAGCAGCCCAGGACTGTGCCCCAGTAAATCAGCAGTAGCTGCATGAGGAGTTAATGGCTAGAGGAGTCATTGTTGCTGTTGGTGTTTGGGCCACTGTATTAATTGGGTCTCATTTTTCTCATGTAAATAGTAAATTTCTGTAAATGAATGGCAAAACGATCGCTGTAAGTAAAGTTGCCATGGACTTGTGCTGGACCTGCTGTCAGTGCGAGGCCATCACTGAAATCTGTTGCAGTGGAGCTGCAGGCGAAGAGCCTGGCCAGGGCTGCCAGCATCACTGGGGAGAGAGCAGCGAGCAAAGCTGGGCAACTTCTGGTAACTCATTTTTCCTGCAGTCAAGTCCCAAGCCAGGTGAGAAGCAAAGCACTGGCAGAGCTGGGGCTTCCTCGTGTCCTCAGAGACCTCTGGAGAGCCTTAAGAGATGCCTCTGCTCCCGCTGAGCTCTTGGAGAAGGGCACACGGGGAGAAGGTGTTTGGCTGCTGCTGCCTGGGCTCATGTTTCTGAGTGTAACTAGGACAGAGCATTGCACTGAAATCCATTCTCTGGGTGAAAAGTCTCATCTTTGCAGGGCACAGACATGTGGCAGTGCCAGACCCGGTGCCTGTGTGCTGCCCTCCTGCCCGTGGGTGGAAGGAGCTGGGTTGGCAGCACAGCTGAAACAACAGTGAAGAGCAGGAGCCCTTGCTGTAGGCCTGTCCTTGTGTTTATTGCACAGCTCAGGAGCATCTTGCATTTCGAGGGGCACGGGATGCTGTTTCACAGGCAGAGGGCAGGGATGGGTTGGTGCCAGCAGGACCGCTGGCTCCAGGCAAGAGCATCACTATTGATACCAGTTGATAATTGATCCCAGTCCTGTGCTTGCATGTACTTTCCATGTCAGATTTCCTGGTTTCACAGGCAGGGCAGGGCATTTCTCTTGAACAGGCTATTTCTGTCCTGAAGACCTATTCCTCTGAGCCTCTCTGCAAGCCCCCATGGGGAGAAACAACCCCTCTAACATCAGGGAGAGCAACATGAGGTTGATGCCAGCAGCTGTAGCTGTAGGTTGAGTTATTTGACTCAGGAATCCAAACACGTAGGAGGTTGCTGCCACTAGGCTGGTGGTAATGCAAGGTGGGAAGGAAGAAAGGAGCCACGTGAAGTGGAAAAATGGCTTAATTTCTCATGGTGTGAGGGGGAATTGCAGAGCTCTTGTAAAGCAGGCATCTTCCTGCAGAGAGCCTGGCACAGAGCTGCCCGCTCAGTGCTTCCCCAGGGCCACTCTGCAGTGTGGAGCCATGAGGGGTGCAGGCTGACTCGTGCTGAAAAGCATCAGTGGGTGTTTTGGAAGAATGAGATATGGTGGTAAAGCCTTCATGCAGCACTGATACCGGTTTTATTTCTGATGGGATTACACCACCAATCTGCAGGGAAGAATATATGGAAGCAGGATGGAGGCACAGGTCAAAAAGCAAATTCCTGATTCCCAGAGCACTCCTTCCCCTCATGATGGCACCAGAGGTGGGGTGGGCATGGCAGCATGCAGGGAGCCAGCCCAGGGGAGCTGGAGCTGTGCCGCAGTGCGATGCGGACCAGCCCTTGGCGGCGGGTGGGATGCCGGAGCTGTGCCCCACTGTGCTCTCACCTCCCTGTGCTGCTTTTCTGTGTGACATGGGGAAAAGCACAAACTGTGAGTTTGAGGTCCCAGGAGGGAGAGCTGGCAGCTGGGCTGTGCTCAGCATTTTCTGAAAATCAGCTTGTTTTGGTGCATCCCAACTCAAACCATCTTGTTAGGTGCCCAGACCAGCAGTCTTCTGGGAAAGTGCATGTGACCAAGTTCTGGTACTCTGAGCATCTGAGGCACGGGAGATGTCACCAAGCACACAAAATCACACAGAATCACAGAATCACAGAACGTTAGGGATTGGAAGGGACCTCAAAAGCTCATCCAGTCCAATCCCCCTGCCGGAGCAGGAACACCCAGATGAGGTTGCACAGGAAGGCGTCCAGGCGGGTTTTGAATGTCTGCAGAGAAGGAGACTCCACAACCTCTCTGGGCAGCCTGGTCCAGTGCTCTGTCACCCTCACTGAGAAGAAGTTTCTTCTCAAATTTAAGTGGAACCTCCTGTGTTCCAGCTTGTGCCCATTACCTCTTGTCCTATCATTGTTTGTCACCGAGAAGAGCCTGGCTCCATCCTCGTGACACTCACCCTTGAAATATTTATAAACATGAATGAGGTCTCCCCTCAGTCTCCTCTTCTGCAAACTAAAGAGCCCCAGCTCCCTCAGCCGCTCCTCATAAGGGAGATGCTCCACTCCCTTGATCATCTTTGTAGCCCTACGCTGGACTCTCTCCAGCAGTTCCCTGTCCTTCTTGAACTGAGGGGCCCAGAACAGGACACAATATTCCAGATGCGGTCTCACCAGGGCAGAGTAGAGGGGGAGGAGAACCTCTCTCGACCTACTCACCACCCCCCTCCTGATACACCCCAGGATGCCATTGGCCTTTTGCTTTCGCTGGGCTTACTTTCCTTCTTAGAGACAGGTTTGTACACAGCGTGGTCACACCCTCCACGGCAAGAAACAGGTTGTGTTTGTGAGTTGTAGCTCTTTGTCAACCTCTCCTTCTTTTCTTCCAGGATCATACCCCAGCTGGAGAACTCGCCCTCACAGGTTTCACCAGGCAGCCTGCCTGGCTCTGAGATTTCAGAAGCTACGAGGACTTACTTGCAAGGCATGAGCCGCTATGACCTGGACGAGCTTGATGCTTGCTGGTTAGAACTTCTTAATATGGAGCTCAAGGAGATGGGTGAGTATTGCTGGTTTTTTTAAGTCTCTTTAAGGAACCATGTGGAACAAAAGACCTTGAAGAAGAAATCTTTGTTCAGGCTCTCCAAAAGAGATCATATGGATTGCCACAGGATCTTGAGTGCATTTCAGTGCCTCTCACTCACACAGGGGTTTTGTCACATGCAGGAAGTATGGGGCGAGCCAAATGATAGTGGGAACAGTGCAGTGTGCCTCATGGAGCAAGGAGCTGGTTTGCAGAAGGATGGATAGATCCAGATCACTCAGGACCGTGCTCTGGTTGCGTGACCGTGATCTTCTCCTGTGCTCATCCCTGCAGCACCTGTACTGCAGGAGGGTGTTGATCAGGATGGATGTGTTGACCCTGACTCCTTTTGGCCACATCTGAAAGCATTTCTTCAACCATGGCCAACTGGGAAGATGGAGTTGGAGGAAAGAGGATTTCCTAGTCAAAATGTGTCATTTTCAGAAATGCTGGTTCTGGGTTGTCTCTCCTTTCTCAGGTGTCTCTAAATATCACAGCATCGTGTCACCTGCATCACTGCTGTTCTATCACTGCACAGTCTTCAGATCCATTAGTGCATTTCAGTTGAGTGCTAACAACTGAACTGGGAATTTGACCATTGGCACTGGTGCTTAGCATGGTCTGCTGGGCAGATCTGTTGGCGCAGACACGAGGATGTGTAGCCCTGCCAGACTCTGGAGGGATTTTCCAGTCCTTGTTAGGTAAGGATTGCTGCGGTGTGGTTACTGTCACACAGGTAAAAACAACAACGCAGTAAAACATTCACCTTGTGAGGTCAGGGAAAGCTGAAGCCTGCCTACATGAAGCATTACTCCCCGTTGCAAAGGTCTTTCAAGGGTAGAACAAAGTGTGTTACCTGCTGGAGTGGATGAGGTCTTGCACTGCTGAATGGGGAGACTGTGCTGAGTCTCACCTGGGTGCTGCAGTGATCGGTGAGGTTGCCGTAAGTCAGTCCACTGAGCCTGCACGGAGCGTAAACGGGCTCAGAAGTCAGCCACCACGTTGGTTGATCTTGGTTGCAGAAGATCTCTGCTTTTCTGGTGTACTAATGATTTAGAAGCAAAATTTTTTTACTGTGATCTCTAAGACCTCAAGAAAGTTGTAGAGGCTGCTTTTAGCATTTGGCTAATTATCTGTTATATGTATCCTGTATATTGGATTTCTCATAATACTGATGTTGTGAAGCCCATAATATCACTGGCAAATTGCAGTCAGCTTTGCCCTTATTAACTGGTCCTCTGTTAGCAGCCTCAGCTCTGGTCATTGGCACACCAGGTTTTGAGATACTGGCAGCTACAGTCAAGTCCTTGGGCAGAGCAGAGGGTGCTCCTGGGCATAGCTGAGTGGCTCGGTCCTGCTCAGGTGCCTTACAGAGGATCCATCCTTCCTGATGCTGTACAGCTGCAGTACTACATCAGGAAACCAGTTTCTACCATTGAGAAAACAGTGGTGCTGCCTTGGGAACATGTTGGATTTAGGAAGGGAGCTTGAGCGTTGTCACAGCCATATACCCCTGGTAGCCCTGCTCCTCGCAGGCGCATTGGATGGGCTGGCATCACAGCATCCCGATGAGCACACCCTGTACCCGATGTCAGCACACAGGCGATGCTTTGCTGCTGATCCTCTGCGCAGTTTTGGGCAAGCTGCATTGTTCTTCCTCCAGCTCTTTGTAATTTATCACCTTTTTCAAGGACAACCCCTAGGAAGTATTTGTACAGCACCAGACTGGATGAGACCACGGGCTCTGACAAAGCCCCTGAGCCCTCCTGCTCTAACTCTGGTTGCCAGGGGATTTCAACAGTGGTCATGCAGAGAGCCTCGCTGTCCAGCAGCCTATTTCCAGCCCATTTCTGTTGCTGAAAGAGCCCTGTAATTACTGGCTGAGCCTTAAATATGCTGGGGAGAGAGCAGCTTTGCAAACCAGCGTTTGGCATATGAAATCCACTGCGGATATGGCTTCAGCCTGAAGGGTTCTGATATCTCGCCCCATCCCCCAGCCCTCCCCATTTCTCTAGCAGTACATGAGCTAGTGCATTTTTTTCCAGTGGCTTGAAAAGGAAAACACGTGGCATTGATTAGTAGCCCATCCCTGGTGCTGCGGGGAGCTGGAGGTCCGGCAGGTAGGAAGTGGGATGGGTGCTGGTGACTGAGGGAACATGGTGGTATCCCCCACACCAGCTGTGCCTGGGGCTGCTGAGGGGGCTGGACTGCAGAGGCGGTGGGGTGTCAAGGGGCTTCTTTGGGAGGATGCATTTTCCTGCCTGTGGAAGAGGTGGGATTGGGGTACAGGTAGAGGAAAGCTGTTGCAGGGAATGTGTGGTTGATCCCCTCCTGGGCTGTGCTGGAGCAGAGGCTGTGCTCCCACTGCTCCCCATATGGGAGAAGCCATGCAGCCGGGTGCAGTGGGGGTGGGATTTGGGTGCCCTTCACCGCCCAATGCAGAAGACTGCCACCTGCATGGGTAAGTCTGAAGGCAGTCCATAAAGAGTGCTCTCTATCGGAAGCCCTCAATGACATGCTGAGATTTCCAAACCAGCTTTGCTCATCTCTGAGATCATTAACATGAGTTAACTGGAGAATTGCAGCCCCTCCTCCCGTTCAGAGAAGTCAGGAGTTATCTCCCAGCCTCAAGAGATACGCAGAAGTTTAAATTCCTCCTGAGCATTCAGCTGAGCTGTTGTCACTGGGCACAGCATGTCATTGCCAAAATATTCAATGACAAAGAAGGAGCCTGATCTCTGACTGGCTCTTGAGCGGCCGCAGGGAGAAGAGCTGGAAAACACCTCTGAGGTCATGTGTCTTGCTTTGCCCGTAGCATTGATCCACGTTAGCGCTGATCCACGTAGCACATAGCACATGCCTTTTCCAGTCCTTTTTAGGTCACCCCAGGGATGGAATTTTATCACAGAGATCAGATAAACCTCCAGATAGCTCCAGCTCTCTTGCCCACCAATTAGGTGGAATTGCTCCGAAAAGCAAATTTTTTTCACATAGAACAGCTTTAAATAGTTTTAAAGCCCTCAGTAAGATGCCTCTTTAGCTGTTCCTGTACTCAGCAGAAATGTACTGTTTAAGGAACTTCTGAGTGCTGAAGATGAAATCAATATTTAAGCATGCTTAAATGTTTCATTTGTTGCTGCTGCAATATGAGACAGTAAAAAGAATGGGTCTAAAGGGGTCTGAATGAAACCCTGAACCAGATTTATGTGTGCTCCACTCCAGGCACCACAGACCTTTCCTTTTAAAGGAAAGTCTTTGTTTTTATATTAACATTTCCTGCTGTATTTTGTGATCTCCACTGAATCCAAAGCTATTGTAAGCATGGGGCTAGAGAGACTTCAAAGACCTAGGCTGGAAGATCACTTTGTGGTGATCAGCACTTCATAAACACAGGGAAAATCCTCAAGAAATTGCTGAAAACATTGCCGGTATCAATTTTGCTGAAGGCAGAGTCAGATTTTCTAAGCATTCCCTTGACTTAATCCATATGGCGTATGCTGCTCACATATGCCCACCACAGCTTCTATCTTGGGAGCTGGAGGTGTTCCTGGTATTTTATGGCAGGAACACACAAAGGTCACATTTATTGCTTTTGAAGCTCCGGGGGGAATTCATCACTGCGTACTCGAGATATGTCTGTGTACTAATGAGATGATACCTCCCTCCGCGGAGGTGAGATTGGTCAAGTGGACGTGGAATAAACCGGAGTCGTGGAGTAACCCCAGGGAAGATGCGCTCAATGGAGCGGAGGCTGCCGTTAAATGTGCGCCACGGAGAGCGGCTGCCTGCCACCCAGCAGTGCCAAGAGCCCTTGCCCAAGGCTACCCTCATCCCACTGCGTCCTTTTGGGATTCAGGGAGCCCCCTTCTCACCCCAAGGCAGCATGTTGGTGCTCCTCAAGCAGACCTTGCTCCTGGGTGCTTGCCACCCCCCCACTGGTGCCCATCGCCTTGGCCAGGCTGCATTTGCTCTGCAGGGCCACCCCAATAGCTGTCACTTGACGCTTTTTCATTATTTTAACAACTTTGAGCACGATTCCCCGCAGTGCTGTGGTGGCAGAGGTGCAGCCCCATTCCTCGCCAGTGCAGCCAGCTGGAGGGAGCCCTGCGATGAGGACTGCTGCCCCCTTATGTAGGGGATCCAGAGACTGCTGTCCCCTCACAGGGATGCTCCCCAGGCCCTGCTGGCAGGAGGATGTGCAGAATCTGTCCTTTTTGTAGTGGGATCCATTTCCTTTAACCACCAGCCCAGCTTCCCCCTTTCAAACGTCTTCTCCAGCCCACAGCCATCATGGACCACAGCAGTGGCCTGTCCACTCTCCCCATGCCCAGGCTGGCCCTGCCTTGCCACTCATTGCTTGAGAAAGCTTAGCCCATTAATAACTTAGGGTCTGTTTGTTTGGATTTTTTTTCTTGTTTTGAAGAAATCCTGCCAGTTTGAAGCTGTTTTGTAACTATGTCTGTGCTGCAGCCCACACGAAACATCCGTGCATAGCCCAAAATCTTTGTTCTCCGCTGAGATCACAAGCTCATTGCGCGAGAAATCATTTCAGCAGCAACTGCTTTGGTGCTTGGATAGATGAACCAGCAAATCCTCCACTGCTTGGTGGTTATGTCACAAGCAAGAGACGTATTTGGTAGAGGTACCAATGTACAGCATAAAAGTAATTGGGAACAGATTGAAGGCAGGAAGGGAAGGAGGAAGAAGAAGAACCCAGGTGCAAGTGATCGAGGCTGATTTCGTGTGAAAATAGCCTCAACTGTTTAGATTCTCTTTAAGTAAGGAAATGCAGAAATATTTTCAGGTGGCAGTTCCTTAAGTTATTGGCAGAGGTGAAAGCACCACAAGCCTCTGGAAGGAGAAGCTGAGCTTCTTTATCTGCTTATAGAAACAGATATTGCAGGAAAGCATGTATAGATTAATGTATCAGTTGGATATAGATTGTGTATTCTTGTATAGATTAGCAGGGTTGGAGC